AGCAATACTGACCCCTAGTCCACAGTGGAAAACCTCCTTATGTAATACAACCAGTATTGGCTCCCTTTTCTTCCCTGTATCAGTTCCCCATTCTCCTACTGAGGCTAGGCTAGAATTACCTTCCAAACAACTTACACTCTAATCTTAGCCTCAGGGAAGCCCACATTGACAGAAGAATAATGCACTATTTCTTCACTTAATTGTTGTCTACATGGGTTTGGTATGATCATTTTATAAAAATGTAAGAAGCTGTAAACATCTTTTTTTATAAAAAAGAGTTGATGGTATACTGTGGAGTTAGACCCAGAATCCAAGTCATCTGACTCCCGAGTCAAGATCATTTCCTAATATGACTTCCTTACAGGAATTTAGAAGACATGAAAGACATAGATCAAGGGGGACTTCTAAAGGGATGTTCACATTCAGAAAAGATTAAGCAAAAGGAAATGAATTAAATCTCCAGCCTAAAACAAGTAAAAGTAGGCAAAAATAGTGGACATCCAGCGATAAAAGACAGTGATCCCTGAGAGATAAAACCAAGTCTTTATTGTTGTTGCTGTTTGAGACAAGGTCTCACTCTGTCACCCAGACTGGAGTGCAGTGGTACGGTCATGGCTCACTGCTGAGATGACATGTGGTCTGGAATCTTTCTCAAGACTACCCCAGTTTACTGCCTTGAGAAAGATTCCAGACCACAGCACAAGAAAGGAAAAATCTAAGCAGACTTGTGGACTCCCTGCATTGAGAAGACAGAACTGAAATTCCAGAGAAACCAAAGCACACAGAGCACATGCAGGACGAAGTGTCAGGGAGGACACAGCAGAACTAGAAGAAATTCCCAAGATGTGCGAAGGGTCCCCGCAAATATTCAGCCAAGTAGAAGCCATAAATGCCTGTGGTAAAACTGCCCGAGGCTAGGCAAAGAGAACATAATGTCAAACTCACACCCGCTGGAAAACCTCAGGACACAAGGGCATTAAGCAAAGTCTTAGCTCAGTTATAGGGAATAATTAGCCCTAGAAGGAGCTCTTCCTCTACCTTAACTGCAAGAAGCAAAAGGATTAAACTGTTGGCAAGTAAATTAACCATGTCCCAGAAAAAAGTACAAGAAGATTTACAGTAAGTGAAATAAATGAGACATAGAAAACTATTGCATGTTTTCACTTATATGTGAAATAAAAAAAAAATCAAGTATAAAGAAAGACACCAAAACAGTGGTTACCATGAAGGGTTGGATGGGACAAATAAGGAGATGCAGATTACAGGATACAAAGTAGCAGACAGGTAGATGAACAAGCCTAGAGGTCTAGTATACATGAGAACTATAGGTAATAAAATTGTCCTGTACATGGGATCATGCTAAAAGAGTAGATTTTAGCTACTCCTGCCACAAAAACAAACAAAATAAAATAGATAACTATGTGAGATGATGCATGTTAATTTGTTTCACCATAGTAACCTTTTTACTATTTATATGTATCCCATCACATCATGCTGTATATTTTAAATATATAAAATAAAACAACTTTTTAAAAAGTTATAAAAATACAAAAATATAGCAAACAAGAAGGAAAAATTCATAATGTCTAGTATTCAATAAAATTATTTTGCGACCAGGAGCGGTGGCTCATGCCTGTAATCCCAGCACTTTGGGAGGCCGAGGCAGGCGAATCACGAGATCAGGAGTTTGAGACCAGCCTGACCAACATGGTGAAACCCCGTCTCTACTAAAAATACAAAAATTAGCTGGGCATGGAGGGCGCCTGTAATCCCAGCTACTCGGGAGGCTGAAGCAGGAGAATCCCTTGAAGCCAGGAGGTGGAGGTTGCAGTGAGCCAAGATCACACCACTGCACCCTAGCCTGGGCGACAAGAGAGAGACTCCGTCTAAAAAAAAAAAAAAAAAAAAATTATTTTACATTAGAAAACATGAAAAAATGACAGATAATGAGGAAAAAATTATTGAAAACCTACCCAGATATTAGATGGGTATCACAGATGTTAGAAAGATGTTTTTAAAAAGAAGAGGAATGTCAGAAAAAGCTGGTGTTAGAAAAACAGACAAGAATGTTTCAAAAATGTATTATAACTGTTTAACATATGTTCAAAAAGTTAATGAGGCATGAAAGTTTAATAAAAACCAAAATTGAACTCTTAGAGATTTAAAAAAAAACTCTTAATGAAAAATACAATGAATGTACAAATTGAGACATTAGAGAAAAAAATATGTAGTGGACTTTAAAGAACAGTGATAGAAATTCACCAAAATGAAACCCAAATACCTAAGAATATTAAAACAAACAAGTAACACAGTATTGATGAGCTGTGGGGCAACCTGAAAGGTCCTAATAAATGTATAATTGGAGTCCTGAAAGGAGAGGAGCAGAAGATAAAGGAGAAGAAATATGCAAAAATTTTCCAAGTTGGATGGAAACTATAAACCCAAAGATCCAAGATCCAAGATGTTTTATGAAGAAAACTATACCATGAAATTAAATTTGAAACTGATGTCAAAAAGAGAAATTCACAACAGCAATTTAAAAAATATGAGACACACATCAGAAACAGATTAAGTCTGACAGCAGATTTCTCATTGGAAAAAAAATGCATGCTAGGAGACAGTGGAGCAATTTCTGTACCGTAGCATACTTAAAAAAAAAACTGTCAAATTTGAAGTGTATACCAAGTGACTATATCCTTCAGAGAAAAATGTGAAATAAAGACTTTTTTAAACAAACAAAGATGAACAAATGAATCACTGGCATCCTAGCACTACAAAAAAAAAAAAAAAAAATTAAAAGAAGCCTTCTAGACAAACAGAAAATAAAACCAGACGGAAACACAGGTTTACATAAACAATTAAAACTGCCAGAAATGGTAACTACATGGATAAATACACGACACATTTTTCACATTATTTACATCACTTTAAAAAATAGTTTACTGCTTGCAAATAATAATTACAATGCAAAGTGAGGTTTTTAACATACATAAAAGTAAATTATATGATGACAAAAAAAAAAAAGCTTGGAGAAGAGAAATTATCTTGCTACAAACTCATATTGTAGAGGTAAGAAACAATATCACAGGAAGATCTACCTTCCTGTGATAGTGCAATCTTTTATATAGGAAATCTATTTTATAGATTTATAAATATAATCCTATATTTATTTATATAGGAAAGAAAAACTATTAGAGCTAATAAGTAAGCCCAGAAAAGTTAGAGGACATAAGATCAATATATCAAAGAATCAACTATATTTCTACACACTAGGAAGGAACAATCTGAAAATGAAATTAAGAAAGCAATTCCCTCTACAATAGGACCAAAAAAGAATAAAATACTTAAGAATAATTTAACAAAATAAACGCAAGAATAGTACACTAAAAACTAAAAAATCATTTAAAGAAATTAAAGAAGAACTAAGTAAAGGGAAAGACATCCTATGTTCATGGATTGGAAGACTTAATATTGATTTAGGATAGCAACGTTCCCCAAACTGACCTACAGATTTGATGCAATCCTTATCAAAATTCCAAATGAAGAAATTGGTAAGCTTATTCCAAAATGCATATGAAACTGCAAAGGCCCTATAATAAACAAAACAACTTTGGTGAAAAAAAACAAACCTGGGAGACTGCTATCTAATATCAATATTTAATACAAATCTGCAATAATTAACACAGTATGGTATTGGAAGAAAGAAATAAATGGATCAATGAACAAAACAATCAAAAATTAAGCCCCCATTTACACAGACAACAGATTTCGAAAAAATTGCAAAGGTACTTCAGTAGAGAAAGGATGGCTTTTTACACAAATGGTGAGGAATAATTAGACATAAAAAGTTTTTTGATCCATACTTTGAACAATAAGCAAAAATGAACTCTCAGAATGGTTCATGGATCTAAATGTAACATGTAAAACCAAAAATTTTGCTAACAAAGGTAGGAAAAAAACATTGTGACAAAGCATTAAAAAAGTACAAATTGATTAAAAGGCAATTTTTTAAAAAGTATACTCTTCAAAACACAAAGATAATGAAAAGACAGGGTACAAATGGGAGAAAATCTTCACAAAGCATACATCTAATAAAAGGACTTATATCTAGAATATATAAGAAAAGTCCCAAAATTCAATAAAAAGAAAAATAACTCAGTTTTAAAGACAGGCAGAGAAAACATGCAGATAGCAAATAAGCACTGACCACACTGAGTGTTGATGAGGATAAAGAAGAGCAATGTAGGATGTAGCAACTGTAACTCTCCTACAAGCCTGGGAGGAAAGCAAAATGGCACAAATCCTTTAAAAAACAGTTTGGCAGTTTTTGAAAGTTAACTATTCACCTACCAAATGATCCTGCCATTTCATCCTTAGGTATTTGTCCAAGAGAAGTGAAAGCATATGTCCACACAAACACTTGCATATGAAAAGTCATAGCAACTTTATTTGTAAAAGCCAAAACTCAAAATAACCCAAATGTCCATAGACAGAGAAGTAGTAAACAGAGTGTGAAAATTCCATACAATGAAATATCATTCAGCAAATAAAAAGAAACAAACTACTGATCCATGACACGACATGGATGAATCACAAAATAATTATATTGAGTGAAAGCCAAACAAACACACAAACAAATTACACTGTGTGATTTATTTATATAAAATTCTAGGAAATGCAAAGTAATATACAGAAGTAAAGAAAATAGATTAGTGGTAGCCCTGATGAGAAGAAGGCAGCATGATAACTAAAAGCAAGAGAGAAAGGATTCTAAAGGAGTAGTCAAAAAACTTTCAGGGGTATTGGATATGTTTATTATCTTAATCATAATGATGGTTTCCCATGGATATATACATATATCAAAACTTATCAAATTATACTTACACTTTATGTGCAGTTTATTATTAGTTATAACACAATGAGGTTGTCAGAAAAAGAGAAATACTTTTAAAAATATTTAAAATTAATTGACCCAAGTATCAATTAATTTTATTACTCACTTCCGGCCGGTGTGCCTAGTCAATCTAACCATCAGCTTGCGTGCCTCTTCCGAGCTAGACTGAGTGTTTTTAACAAATGAAATTGGTTTCTCGAGTCCATGTTTTTCCAAAAGCTCTGACACACTATAAGTGAAAAAAGGATTATTTAATGTCTTGCTACCAAAGAAAAAGAGTCTAAGAATCTTAGGCATATAGGTTGCACTTCAGTGTTTATTACCAAAAAAAATTATCCCATAGTGTAATCCAATTTTACATATAACATTGATTCTCAACAAAAAAGAAAAAAAATCTAGTAATTATATAACAAATCTTACCTTTCTCATTGACTTTTATTAGAATGTAGTTGGGCTAAGTAGCATACTAAAAGAAAGCATGACCTATCTTTATCTCAAAAATCTTTCTTACCACAGCACCTGTCAGTAAAATAAGCCAAATCTATACTTTCAGTACAGTTTTAATTCTTATTAATCCTATTGAGTATTCTGTTATAGGCAAGACTACTAGAAAAGCAATAAACTAAGAATGCTAAAGTTAGAAGACTCTGGAAATCATCAGGCTCATTCTCTATCAAGAATCCATGTTATAAATATACAAGATATGTCAAAAATTCTCTCTGTCTCATGAATCTTCTTGAGACATCCCATTCCATAATCATCAACATCATATAAACACTTGATCTGACTCACAAAATCTCACATTTATGAACTGACTACTACAGGACTGAATAGAGTGACTGGATAGAATCCAGTAACTCTTCAGAAAATAGGTTTCATCGGTAAAGTCACCTGGCATTATGTATACTAAAACATTTATCAAGTATCTGGGGCTATGAGGTGGAACAGGAATATAAAGCTCTTATCTTGAAAGCACAGTAAATTAAGCTAAATAGTGAAACCTAAACATCATCCAGAAACCTATAGGGTGTTAACTGTTTCCTTGAGGTACTGATGGCATAATAAAACTACCAGGACCACCCATGGTTACAATCACAGACATGTGATGAAATAAATGACGTTTATTTCACTGTATCTCTTTGAGCTATCTCTTCTCAATTTTACTAGAGAAATAAAGGTAACTATGCAGATTTGTAGAGAATGAATTTACATTGACTCAACCCACCAAGCCTGAGTCAAACTAAACTGAATGTGTTAAGAAGGTAGCGGGGAGGACAGGCACAAGCCAGCCTACAATGGGAAAAGCTGATTTAGTAAACATTTTTCAAGAAATACAACTGTATAACTTTCAGAACACAAAATAACAAGAATCAAAGCTATGTAATAATAAACACAGGTCTCCAGGAAACTGAACAGTTAATTCTCTATTAAACTCACATGTTATGGTACACAAAACCATTCTGTTCCCTCAAAGGCAACTTGAAATATTTTTACACTAAAGTCCATTAATTTGAATAAGATTTCTAATCAGTGGACTCCAAATTATCATACATACTACTATTAGTAATGTTATTAGCTATAATTTCTACAATTATACATTGGAAGACCAGAGTTTATTATTCTTAAATTTTTACTTTTAATACAATACTTAAAAGTTAAATGTACATATTTATATAAACATAAAAATAAATATTAGTAAACAATATCAGACTTTCTACATGGGAAATTAAGATGATTTCAATCTCCAAAAGAGATAGTTTATTATTACAACAGTAAAGAATATTCCTCCAGTGTTGCATGAGGGTTCTAATGCAGTTTGACATAATACAAATAGTCAATTCAATGTATTATGCCCTAAAAAGGGAAGTTAGTGTAATAAACATTGTTTGCTGATAAAGATGCAATAATTGCTGCATGAACTAACATTCCTTATGTGCCTACGATGTAGGAGGCACTTAAATGTTTAATCTAATATTGATTCCACAATTTCATGAGTTAAGATATTATAGACAAGAAAATCCTAGGCCCAAAGATCACACAACTAGTAAGTGGTAAGGTCTAAATTTGAATGTAGGTTTTCAAAGATCATGTTATTATTCTATCACTCCACGACAATGGGGTATAGTGTATTTGCTGTTGAGAAAATTCACTCCCAAGACAAACAAAAATGAGGTCAAAATAGAAACAATGACTCACAGGCAGACTTAACGTGACATTTCTTGGACAAATTCCCTCAATAAGCATGGAGCCAAAAAAACTGTCATTTTTCTTACCTGAGAATTTGTTCCAGTTGGTCTACCATGTCATGAAGCTTTGTGGTTGCCTCTGTCTTATCACTAATAAATTAAAAGAAGAAGAAAAAAAAAAGCCCTTAAGCTTAGTATTAGATTTTTAAATAAAATACAAAACTTAATGAAGTGAAAAAAAGGAAAGATGCTTCTTTTACGTGTACTGTATAACAATATTGCCTAAATTCATTCAGCATTACTCATGATTCAAGAGAATAAGAAATGCTAGAGTAGAACAATATTCTCTGTTACAGATTAGTCAGATATGAGGAACTATTTTCTAGGGTACTTTTGGTTCAGTTGTACTTAAAGGTAAAAAAAAAAAATTATAAATCGATTGTTTAAGATGAGGTAAAGGGTAAAATCACTATTTACTACTGTTCTTTTAAACCAATGAAACAGATTAAGAAGCAGCATAGCCGTGTTGGCTTTCTCCTAGGCCTATCTACACAACTTAGGATCTCCTCTCCAGGAAGTTTCCATTAGGATTCTATATACTCAGGAAAGTTCTTCCACATAATCCTCCCCTGTGCATTAAGGGAAGGGAATCCCATCCACTTCAATGTTAAGGAATCAGCGAGAAGTACATCCATCACAAAGATAATCCCTGGTAGGGAGTGAAGATGAAAAGGCAATGCTTTCTGAGGAAGCCAGTAAGCAGAAACTAGGAGAAACACTATCATGAAAAAGATCACAAAAATAAAAATGTGGTTGGTAGGGAAGATTAAGTATGGCACAACATATGTGCAAGTGAATAGAGGAATATGGTGAAAAAGATTATAACTGCTAGAAAAGCCCTCTTTCACCCTAGACAACTGTGTGTCCCAAACACTCAACTGAGAAACACTGCCCCTGCCACTCTCAGGTGCCTTCTGTGCAATGCTCCACCTGAATTCCCGCAAGATCTTATGGTTTTATTTATTTTTTATTATTTATTTATTAAGTACAATTTCCATTGTATTTTTCTCCAGAGAATAGTCTGTCTTCATTTAAGGACTCAGCTCCTTACATAGGCTTTGGTGGGGATTGTGGGGCAGCACCCACAGGTCAAAATCGGCGTGGGGGTGTTCGGTGCTTCACGACATCAATTCCTGACTATTTTGCTGTGAATTGCACAGCCCACACAGTAACGTAGCTTCACACGCAGCTTGGGAAGCACATAGGCATTGAAGACGCTCGCTTCAGAAATGTCCCTGACTGCTGAGGCCTACACTATGTTTCGAATGACGAATTTCTTGATGCCCTTGTACTTGGGCATGCATCAGGCACAGTTCATGCAGTGAACAGGCTGCATGTGGCTGCGGCCCTTTTTGGCACGACCATTGTTCCTTCTTTTCTTTGTCACCTTGGAGGAACACACCAGAGAAAGCAATGGTTTTATTAACAAGAAGTCCAAACAAAAAATCTTTGGACTTGGAAAATTAAAAATGTCCTGCTTTGGACAAAAAAACCCTCATTATTTTTAAAACTATCTGCCTGGTTTAAATGTATCTGACAATTAATCAATGCAACTTACAAATATTATACTATCTGTTTACACTAAGTTTTAGGCTTTGGACAAGAATGATGAGTGGGATATATTCTACTGAAAGTCCTTCAGAAGATTATTCATCAGAGTTAACTTCCCTTAACATACTCAGTCAGCTGTGTGTGTGTGCGTGTGTGTGTGTGGTTTTTTTGTTTGTTTTGTTTGAGACAGGGTTTTGCTCTGTCACCTAGGTTGGAATGCAGTGGCAGGATCATGGCTCACTGCAACCTCTGCGTCCTGGGCTCAAGCGATCCTCCTGGCTCAGCCTTCCGAGTAGCTAGGACTAAAGGTGTACGCTACCACACTCAGCTAATTTTTACATTTTTTTGTAGAGATGGGGTTTTCCTATGTTCCCCAGACTGGTCTCAACTGATTCTCCCACCTTGGCCTTCCAAAGTGCTAGGATTACAGGCATGAGTAACTGCACCTGGCCTTATTCAGCAATATTTTGGAAATTATCATTTTACAGCTCTATTATAATCATTTATCACAGATACTTGAGGTACAATGTTCTTCCTTTGTGAACTGACATTCACGAACATAATGAGTAAAGAATTTTTTAGCCAGATTAAATAATCTGCCTAGGTAAGATGCAAAAAAATTTAATTAGATTAAGTGATTGCTCATTTCTCAAATAGCAAATGGATGTATTTATAGCTTACCATTTGATAAATAACAACTATTTTAACCACTAAAACAAATAATCACCAAGAGAATATAAATTGAAAAACTTGGCATGAAGAACAAAGAGAACCACAGAAAATATTTTGAGCCCTATATTTTAATACAAGGCTAATTTGTAATTACAAGTTACTTAGAAAATTAAAAACATGAAATGCAATCATTAAGAAATTAATGGAGTAACAAGAAAATATCAAGCCATTCTTTGTGTTTACATAAAAAAAAAATGTTACATCAGAAACCAATAATCTGAAGCCAAGAAACGCTTTTGGCCATGTATACACGAGAGCAATTTCTTAGCCTACACGCTCTTCAAAAACAAACATGTCAATCCTCTAACTATAACATCTACGTAGAAAATATTTTTAATATCATAATCCTACTGATACCATGATAATCTCCTCAAAGCAGGCAAATTACTATTTAATAATTAATAGATAAGTTCTAACTGATATTCATGCTATTTGAGTATAGTGGAAAACAAAGCCTAATATATTTACTTTTAAGAGTTACGCACATGAGTTGGAAGTCAGTGATTGTGCCTGGTTGACTTAGGAACAAGAAATGAGATATGAAGCTGACAGAGGAATCATAAGGTTCCCACCGAGCCCAGTAAGAAAGAAACCCCCTGCCACGCCAGCTCTCGGACGAAAGAGGGGCTTCTGCATCTCTGGTCACACTCCAGGGAGGAGCAATTTGACTACTGACACACTGACCGCCTTTGGGTTGAGATTTTTAAACAATGGGAATAACATTTTGCTACAAAAATCTATTAATACTATCCAGTTTACCTGCCTTTGGCTGCCTATGGAAGGCCTACAGTTCTCAGAGACACACTTGTACACTCTGCTGCTCTCTACTAGGGATGTGAGGTAGCCTGTATTCACACCAGTACAGGTCTGAATAATACACAGATGCTGAGTTCACTCTGATTTACCTTTCCCTATATGAAGAAGGAAGGAAGAAAAGAGAGGGGTACAAATAAACTTATCAAGGAAAAAATATAAGAACATTCTTCAAAGGTCTGAAGGTTATGAATTTCCAGAATGGATGAGACCATTCAGTGAACACCACAATGAATTTATATATGAAACAGAAACACATTCTTATGCTATTTCCAAACACCAAAAATGAAGATATTGAAATCTTCTTTAAAAAAAATCCATATTTAAATAGGTATTATTCAGGATGCCACTGAACTTCTCAACAATACTAGAAAGAAAAGACAAGAGTAATACCTTCAAAATTCACAAGATAAGGATTCTAAGTCTATGATTCCATGTACAATTAAATCTTCTACCAAGTAAAAGTGTGCAATTATGGTATTTTCCTAATATGTGACAGTCTTTTAAAAAATACCTCTCAGGCAATCTTTGACAGGAAGCTATTTGACAGTATACTCCATCAAAATGAGGAAAAAGTGAAGAAAGAAGAAAGGAAAACCAAGAAATGCAATATGCAACACGAGAGAGAGGCAAACGAAGTCCCAGGATAATAGATGGACAGCAGACACAGAGAACAATTCATTCATACCAATTCCAAGAAGGATGTTTCAAAAGGAAGAGAGCGAGAGAAGAAGAGACAGATAGGAAAAAAAAAAAAAACAGAAAGGAATAGAGAGATTATTAAATAGTTTTCACGACTGAAAGTAGTTTAACAGTTCTGTCAATGCATGAGGGTGATGGAAAAAAAGAAAACAACAGAAAAGGAAATTATTCAATCCAAGAAAAACAGATAGTTGTATTAAAAGGAAAATAAATCGCACCTAGTTCTGCAGTATAAACAATATTTACATAATCATAATGATGAAAACACTGGAAAATGGTAGGAAAAGTGGAGAAAGAAGGGAAAGGACTTTCACTAAAGGAAGTCAAAATGATATAAAATTGCAAAATCAAAAAAATAACAACACGAGCATAACATTTTAAAGGAAGTAGGTAAAGACAAGGAAAAATCTACCAGCGAAAGTATTTGCTTTTTGAAGACAGGAATCCAAGGATGGGAAAAGTGGGCAGCAAACAGCTGTTTATCAGTGGATATTACTAATACCAGTCTTCTTATTCCGACTTTAACTATGTTCATACATTATTTATATTTAAAAATTAGAGGAAGATCATGTCCCTTTAGGCTCCTTTATTTTAGAAAAGAGCCTCCCCACGGCCCCACATTTTGTCTTCCTAAATGACACTAACTGTTTAAAGTACAAAGACCAGTTAATGCACAGAACAGCCCACATTCAGTATTTGTCTTACTCCTCATGGTGTTATTTAACTTGTCTCTCTACTTCCCCTATTAGCTGCAAACTAGAAGTTCAGCCTAAAAGACTAATCTGATTAGACTCACGGTAAACAAGTTTAGCAAAAATAATTTCTTAAGGGCTGCTGTAAGACCAGGTGCTTCATACTGCATCACATCAGGAGGCATATAAGGTCAGGCAGTCTGACTATAAGTGATGCCACCTTTCACGACTTGGTTAAGATGATGGCAGTTAGAGCTCAACTTTGAAATTAAAAAAAAAAAAGTCACTGGGGTAATACTTTGGTAGCATGCAAATAACCTTTTCTCATTAATCTTTCACCTGATTTCACTTCCACTAATGACTGCATGAATAACTATTTCACGGTAGATTGCAAAATTGGTGACTGCTATCATTTGCTACATAAGAAATAAATATTTCCTTTTGTCAGATATGACCCCCCCCCCAAAACCCCCCCCCGAAATAAAAATGTCCTCAAAAGTAAAAGGAAAAGAGAGAAAAGAGGGAGAAGATAAAAAGAGAGCAAAGAGAAAAACAGAGAATGAGGCTTTCTTGTCTAAATATCTGATTTTGTAAATCGGGAAATTAATGACCAAAGAAGTAAAGTGACTTGGCTAAAAGTCACAAAAGCTTAAAATAGGTCTGCTGGTATTTACCACTCTTTCATGTGTTGTTATTTATGTCCCCAGATGTGAAATTTATCATACATACTCAATTTAATAGAGGGATCAGAAGAATAATTGTTACCTGACTTCCAAAGAAAACATACAAATTTGACTTGCATACAACTAAATAATCCAAAAGCATATTATATACATTTCCATTTAAACATAAAAGCAGTTAAGAATTAGGTATATTCACTACTTAAAAGAATTCCTGTAGGCAAAGGCAAAGAACAAACAATTCATAGAATAAATATAATTAGTCCATAAATGTGAAAAAAAAGCTTCATTAAAAACACAATTACTATCTACTGACTTATAAAAAGTAGTTTTTGTGGAGATGGTGGTGATTTTTGTTTTTTAATAGAAAATTATCATGTTTGACAAAATTCAGAATTTAATTATAATTACAGTTGAACAAAATATAGAACTTCCCATATATTGGTAAGACAAGAAATGTTTATCCTAGGCAACAGGACTGAGGATGATTTTGTTTTCTTCTTTATGTTTTTTTCACATTCCTAAAATTCTCTAAGGTAAACATCTGGGGAAGCAACGTTTTTAACTGTTAGAATAAAACAACACAATTAAGACTGGCATACTGTGGATTCTTACCCATATCCTCTTTCTGGCAGACATTCTAGTATGTCATAGCAAAGAGAGAGTTGGTCATTTCGTTCACAGGTATAGATGCACTCTAGTGCTATTGCCATCAGTTGGTCCTGATCAGGAATAATTTTTTGCTGCAGCTACAGAAAATAAAGTATGTTGTATTAAATGTCAATAGATTTATAGTCAACTTTTCCATATCTCAATACTACTGTCAATAGAATATTAAATAGCACGATTAATCAACTACAGAAACACATCTTGATTTTTCTTTATAGATTTCTAGGGTCTTTAATAACTCTAACTGAAATCACATTTTAATTACAGAATCAACTATAAAAGATAATTTGTAACCCCATAAGCTGTGTATCAGCTGAAAACAGATTCTTCAATTTATGACCCAGTCAATATAGAAAAAAGAAACACTGTGAATTAAAAAGGCAATTCATTAAGAACATTTCTAACCCTGGAGCCAAATTCTATGTGTTTCAGTTACAAAGTTATAAAAAAATTCCTTAACTGATATTCAAAGATGTTACAACCTATTACTTTTCAGTAGGCACTACATATTACTCATTTAACTACAGAGTGCTGACATTCTATTCAAAAGAAGTCCAATTGTAATAGAGTACTGTGCAAATCACAGAACACATTCCATAGTTCTGATGAAGAAAGATGGCTACTTAGGGTCACTTTCTATACAGAAAAAAGCGTTTCCCATTGCAAACCACAGATTCCCATTCTTGGAGTGTTTTCCAGGATACGAAAATAACCAATTGATTTTTGTTTTTCTCATCTATAAAGCGTGAATATTAACAATACCTTTCTAAGAGGACTATTGCAAGGATTAAATAAATTAATAAATATAGAAGGAAAAATACAGAAAAAAGTAAGAATTTGCAGCTTATATTATTAGCACCACAGCAACCAAATGAAAGTAATTTTCTTAGAGCTCTTTTCAACAACGAAATAAATCTAAGATAATTTCCATGATAATAGTCTACTAGTTTTCAATATTTTAGTAGAAATTCATCAGTAAACACAAAAGAGATAGGAAAGTGATGGAGAGAAGCTACCAAACAAGGGCATTTTCTCAGTAGAAAAGCCACATCAATGGATGTAAAAAAGAAACTTTCAAGGTTACCAGGAAAACAAAGTTTTCCAAAGCTGCCGAATTAAAGGATTTATATACATATCTTCAAGGTACAGTTGGCCCTCCATATCTGTGGGCTTCACTTCCCTGGATTCAACCAACCATGGATCCAAAATATCTGGGGGAAAAAGTGTTTGTCTGCGCTGAACATGTACAAACCATTTTTTCTTGTCATTATTCCCTAAACAATATAGTATAAAAACTATTTAATTAACATTTACATTGTATTAGGTATTATACTTTAAATCTATAGAAGATTTAAAGTATACAGGAGGATGTGCAAAGGTTATTGCAAATACTACATCATTTTGTATCAGGGACTTGAGTATCCATGGATTTTGGTAGCCTAGTGGTAGGAAGGGTTAAGAGGGGTCCTAAGGCAATCCCCCACAGATACTGAGGGATGAATGTATTCATTTGAAAAATGTCATCTTTAACCAAGGTTGCCAAGTGACTAACTGGTAAAATAGGAACAAGCTGAGAGTAATAAAAATAAGTACTGTTGAAAATTAATAAAAACAGCTACCTTTTCCTGATTTATTTTTCCTTCTTTCCTGTGTGTGTGTATATATACAGCTTTGTTTTGTTTCTGTTTTTTTTGCAGATACAAGGTCTCACTGTGTTGCTCAGGCTGGTCTCAAACCCCTGGCCTCAAGTGATCCTCCTGCCTCGACTTCCCGAAATGCTGGGATTACAGGCATGAGCCACCACACACAGTCCTCTGATTTCTAATTGTATGCCAGGTACCATTTCTAAGTGCTTTGTGTGTACTAATTCGTAAGTCTTCATAACAATCTATAAAATTAGTACTAGTACTATTCTCATTATACATAAATGAAAAACAAACATCCTAACAGGTCAAATAATTTGCGTGAACCCACAGAGCTAATAAGTGGTAAAACGAGGATTCAAACCAGGCAATTGGCTCCAGTGCCTAAACTAAGCAACACAGGCTCTCACAATCCTACATTCAGGAAGAATGAAAGAAAATGAGAGAAGATATGGCAATAAAACACTCATATATGGTAAGAAAACATCCCCGGAAGATAAAAACACTGAAACCAATTTCAGTCAAGGAACAATTTGGGAAACCATTTGAAATAAAAGCCAAAGTCCTGATGTGTTACTTGTTCTCCCCACTTCCTGTCTTTCCCTCTGTGAGATGTTAAAGAACAACTTTTATTTATTTATTTACTTTCTGAGACAGAGTCTTGCTGTGTTACCCCTCAAGTGCAGTGGTGCAATCTCAGCTCACTGCAACCTCCACCTCCCAGGTTCAAGCAATTCTCCTGCCTCAGCCTCCTGAGTAGCTGGAATTACAGGCACCCACAACCACGTCTAGCTAATTTTTGTATTTTTAGTAGAGATGGGCTTTTGCCATGTTGGCCAGGCTGGTCTTGAACTCCTGACCTCAAGTGATTCACCCACCTCGGGCTCCCAAAATGCTGGGATTACAGGTGTGAGCCACTGCGCCCGACCCTAAAGAACCACTTTTAAGTTCAATGTCCTTGAGTCCATATTTGATCACATATGCTCAAACCTTATGTTGAGAATCCTTTAACAGTCTTTCAATATGAAAGGTAAACAACAAACCTTTTGCCTTCCACTTAAACGCCTCTATGGCCTGCTCCCATGAACCACTTACCCTTCTACATAGTTTTATTCCACTCAAATTAAATTACTTGCGCTTATCTAAACATGATATTAACCTGATTATATCTCCTTGTTTTAGTCTACTCCTACCTGGAATGTCTTCTTAAGAAGACATGTCTTGCCATGTCTAAAACCTATCCAATAATCCAGTTATATCTTCATTTGACTTTGACTTAAATTCAGCTTTCCCAGATGTCTACAGTCCTGGAGTATGCCCAATAGTTGCTAGTCCAGTGAGTAAGTCCTTACACTACTCTCATACATAGATACCCTTTTCTCTCTGTATTCCTAGGGCATATTTCTTTTCTCTTCTTATGCCATTCAGCATATTTTTTAAAATATAATCTGTTGTGTCCATAAACCATACTGTTCAAATTTGTAAGACATTTTTCAATCTTTCCCTGTTAGAATCCCTATAAGATACCTAATTTCATATAGTCTAAGACACACTTTTTTTTCATCATTCCTTCCCTATGATCTCAGTTGTCACTTTTATACTGTCATTTGCCTTTTCTCAAGCTAAAAGAGGACAGCCCATCTGGGACTTTCTAAGAAGTCAATGAAATGAGTCTTCCACACCATAGGCTGCAGATTATCACCCATACTGCATAAAAAGGTAAAATACAAAAGAATAATAATTTCTAAAAAATCTTAAAATTATGCACTATATACACTAGAAAAGAACACAGATGATAAGATAGGATACCTGGAAAATCCCAAAGAATCAAGCAATCAAAGAAATCAGTGAAGTAGCAGAATACAAAATTAACATACAAATAGCTTTTATATACACAGACATTAAACAGAGGAAATGAGGGCAGATAGTACCAACAGAGAAAACTTAAAACTTAGGAATAAATTTAACAAAAAATGTGCAAAACATCTAAGAGGAAAATTTTTAAGCAATCCTGTAAGAGATTTAAAAAGACATAAACTAATAGAACAACATCCCCTATTACTGGATACAATGACTGAATATTAGACAAATACTGGTCTCCCTAAGTTAACTTACAAATTCAATGCAATCACAACAAAATACTGATAAGCGATTTTATGAAAGTAGACAAACTGGTACTAAAGTTCAGATAGAAAAACAAATACACAATAACACGAAAAAAAAAACAAAAACAAAAAACGGGGAAAAAACCCACAGAGGAATACTACCTCCTCAGACCTTAAAACACACTAAACTCTCCATAATTAAAATCATGCAGTACTAGTGCGTGGACAGACAAACCAGTAGAATACAGAAACTCTAGAATTAAACACATGTACAGATGGAAATTTTGGTATATGACAAAGGTGGCATTTCAAATCACTAGGGTAAAGAGAAACGTTTTAATAAATAATGCTGGAACAATTACGTAGTCATTTGGGAAAATAAAATCAGATCCATGTCTCACAATACAAAAGAAAAAACTCCAAATAAACTGGGAAGAGAAAAATAAAACCATGCAAGTACTAGAAGAAAACATGAGGCCGGGCGCGGTGGCTCAAGCCTGTAATCCCAGCACTTTGGGAGGCCGAGACGGGCGGATCACGAGGTCAGGAGATCGAGACCATCCTGGCTAACATGGTGAAACCCCGTCTCTACTAAAAAATACAAAAAACTAGCCGGGCGAGGTGGCGGGCGCCTGTAGTCCCAGCTACTCAGGAGGCTGAGGCAGGAGAATGGCGTAAATCCGGGAGGCGGAGCTTGCAGTGAGCTGAGATCCGGCCACTGCACTCCAGCCTGGGCGACAGAGCATGACTCCGTCTCAAAAAAAAAAAAGAAAACATGAGAGAATTCTTCCTTAACTCTGAGTATGAAATGGCTTTCCAACCATTACTCAAAATACAGAGGCAATAAAAGATCGAACAATTTGACTACACAAAAATAAAAAAATGAAAACATTGTATGACACAATAAACAAAGTCAAAAGATAACTGACCAATTGGGAGAAGTATTCACAATATATGCCATAGACAAAGGGTTGGTTACACGAATATGTAAGAATTTCTAAAAATTAAGGTACAAAAGAACAAAAACCCTAGGCAAGAGTGGAGCAAGGACAGGAATAAGTTCAGAAAAGAGAGATAATGTCTACCTAACATACCGGAACATGTTAAAACTCATTCGTAATTAGAAAAGTGCAAATTGAAACAACACTGAAATACCGTTTCTCACCTATCACATTGGCACAAATTTTAAAATACGACAACAAATTCTGTTGGCAAAATTGTGGAGAAATGGGCATGCTCCTACTTGGTTGGTGGGAATGTAAATTAGAACAATCCTACTAAAGAAAAATTTGGCAATATCCAGACAACTCTTGCCTTTTTAAACCCAGCAAT